TTATTTGAAAAAGGTTTCGCTTTATCTAAAAAAGGTTTAATTTAATTTGAAAATGATTTCACTTGTCCTGAAAAAGATTTCATTTAATTTGAAAGGTTTCGCTTTGTTTGAAAAAGGTTTTTTAATTTGAAAAAAAGTTTAATTTAAACTGAAAATGCTATACATGCATATATATTTTATCTTGTTTTAATAAGAAAAAACTATTTTTTTTACTACATTTAATATCTAGAAACTTGTTTTATTTTGTTATTTTTATTTTTTAATTAAATTTTTAGATTTTGTTGTTTTAAAACGAAAATATATTTTTTTTTAATTTCATAACATTTTTAGAAACTTACTTTTCTATTCTTTTTTTTAAATCCAATTTGTTTTTATATATTTTTTTTTAATTTCATAAAATTTTGTAGAAACTTACTTTTATATAATTATTTTAATTGAATTCCTTTTTCTTTTTTAATTCAATTTTTAGATTTTATTGTTTTAAAACGAAATATAATTTTTCTTTCATAAAATTTTTTAGAAATCCCCTTTTCTATTATTTTTTTTGGATTCAATTAGTTTTTCTTATTAATTTGAATTTTTAGATTTTGTTATTTTGATATGAAAAATATTTTTTTTGAATTTCATAAGATATTTATATTTTTTTTTTTGTTAATCTTTAACATAATTTAATTTTTTTTTACATTATTTTAAAAAGAAAAATTGTTTTCTAGTTAAATTTAATTCCTTTTTTTTCTTTTTACTGCGTTTTTTAGAGTTTATTGATTAAAAAGGAATATGGTTTTTTAACTTCATTTAATTTTTAGAAAACTTATTGCTAAAAGACAAACAGAATAAGCTTAGACCTCGTCGTTTAGCAGATCTTTCAATTAGTCTTTTAGCAAAGAAAGAACAAAGCTTTCAATATAATTGCGAGAATTTTCCGCTGTCTTACGAAATACTTTTTCCTTTCGAAAAACTGTGGTGAATTAAAAGATAGTAACTAGTTGCCAGCATTGCTTGTAAGGTTGAGGTTAAAGTTGAGATTAAGATAAAGATTACGAATAATTGTTCATTATTATGCGGAAAAATGCTCACATATTATAATGAACTACATGGGTGATGGGAAGAAGAAGTTTGACTTCAGTCGAGCTTGAGATCAGCAATATAATTTTTCTAGAATTTGCGATGCATTCCGTTTTCCTTTGTCTAATTTGGTTTGCAGGAAAGGCCTAATTCGGCATTTTGCAATTTTCGGCATTATGAAACTGCTCATCATACTCTGGCCTAAGCATCAACAACCAAAAAATAATAATTACTTTGTTTCGTTTATTGTCTCTGTCTACGCCTTAAACAACAGGACATTTGGCGGTTACTGTTGCAATATTAATTTTTTTCTTGCCGAAAATCTCCGTCTAGACATGGTCATACGAGACGCCAGAACGCGCGAATTATGTTTAGTAGCGTGAATGAAAAATTGAGAAAAAAACCCAGAGGACCATTCCTTTAAAACAAAAAGGATGTAATTTAATACAAACATAGGTGAGTGTTGCCGTACAAAAGAAGTGGCAAAGCATTGATTAAACCGCATCTTTGACAATTCGAAGCAGGCAGCGACTGTATATGAATGTATTATTTAGCAGCTACAAAAGCCTTGGATTTCGCAAAAAAGTAGAACTCTGACTTTGTCTAAAAGTTAAGTTAAATTTCTATTGGACAGTAGATGCTTAAATAAAGAACAGTAAGTTGAATTTTAAATAGTGAGACTTCATTGAGTAGTTCATCTTTAATATATGCTCATATTCATTGTATAGTTTCGAGGGATGTGGCCAACCTTTTCAAACTGAGCGGGGACAAATCGCCGCAGATTTCATTGCATAATTTATATCCAAACGATTGAAATCAAATTAATTAAATTTTCAGTGAACTGAAGTGGACTGGACTTAATCGCAGATAATACCGCCGATACTACCACTGCAATGCTTAACTTAACGCTCGAAGAAAATCTGCAAAAAAAAATGAACCCAAGTTGGAAAGGGTAATAATATTAAGCTAATGAATCAACTGATCATTTACGAGAGATATCAATAATGGCTTCGGTCTCTCTGGCACTCTTATACTATAAAAAAAAAATTTCATTTCTTCCGTAAGGCAAATACCGGGGTCTTAAAAAACGAACAGCATACATATACTCAACGGCAAAGGCAAATTAAATTAAGGATATAACTTAGTTCGCAATTTGCTGAATCCGCAAAATTTTGTATCTGTGTAATATAGCGCCAACAGTGGGTTTTATTACTTCCTTTCAGCAAATACTCAAGCTTCCTCTAAATATTCACCCAACAAGCGGAAATTGTCATTTGCGGTTATTGGAGTGATAAGGCGAAAATAGGAAGGCTATAAATGGTGGCGTTTGGGTGTGCATAAACCACTGAACTATACAGTATTTACAAGTTCATAAGTATATATGTTTATCCAACTGACGCTTGCACACTAGGGTGGTGCAAAATAAGTAAAGTCGGAATTTTAATGCGAACACCCCTTATATTTAGAGGTCGCTCAAAGCGCTTAAAAATTTTCCATGTTTTTTATATGGAAATCTCCTGATAAGAAACTTCTAGGAAAAGTTATATTTTCCCCATATAAAATACATGGAAATCTTTGAACGTCTTGAGCGACCTCTAAATATTTTTTGATTTCAAAATAAAAAAAATGGAGGTATATTTTTTTCGGTATAGAACAATCCTAGGAGGGAAAGCATAAAAATTCCGACATTACATTTTCACATGCATTTTTGGACCACCCTATTGCACACACTAGTATGCAGATTGGTAAACTCAACTCGATGTCAATAAAATCAAACTCTAATTACACAGAAAAATTGTGAGTAATGGCAATTGGTCTAGGTATGTATTTGAGAGTGCTGTGCGCTAGGTACGTTTGGTACATACTTAGGCCAGGTGTACGCACACACAAAAATGTGAAGCTTAGCTGCTATGTATATGTATTCTTTAAATGCTTCAAATAGTTCCAACCAACGCTCTCCGCTCGGCATAATTGTTTTATCGTCAACCTAATCACCCATCGAGTTGGTAGTCAGTATTAGCAACCTCATTATCGTCATCAACAACAACGGTCGCACTTTAATCAGCATCACTTGTTAATGTTGTTGTCGGCAGACGCCTCCCTAGAACGCCCGCCTTAAGCACATGTAAGCTTATGTGTATACAGATAGCACCAGTGTGACCAGATGAGCTTTTCGCGGCTGGATTTAGGATTTAGTTTTATGTCATAGCCTCAGAAATTTAGATCTGACTTCGTGCCTTTTTTCTGGCATTTTTTCTTTATTAAAATCTTCTAATAAAATTCGAACCGGAAATATAACAAGTAATTTTTAAGCAAAACCCACAACCGACTTCAATTCTCATATAAATATTTAGGAGTACCGTTAATTTTTTCATGATCTAATTTTCGGAAACACTACCTTTCCGATAGAAAAATTATCGAAATCGGTTGACGTTGTATAAGAAAAGCTTCAATATTTCCAAAACTACTATTTACCGTTGAAATATTACAATAACAGTGCAAAGTTCTTTGAGAAAATATTTTCTCCGCTTTTTAAAAAACAATACTAAGAATTTTGCTTTAAAACTTATTTTTTTGAAATCGAGTTTTGGCGTACTACTTGTGTACTATGATGTAAAATATATTCAAATTTTTGCATTTTACTTATCCTTATCTTTTGCTTTTGGCATATTTTGAAGTTATGTAGCCGTTATTGGCCTGATAGATGCTATTCTGTATTTTTACGAGAATTTTTTTAAGAAGTTATTTACAGAGAATCGAATTTGCTGAACGTGTCGAGTTTTTAAGAAATGAATATGCTGACTTCTTTTTAACTTCAATTTTCTTTATGTCTAACTTGTTCTAACCTTTTTTAAAAACGAATTTAGCTTCGCTTTTTGCGATCATCTGGTCACACTGGATAGCACATTTCTCAGCATTCGATGAGCAGCAGCCTTGGCTGGCCTGCCAAATGTTCGCTTTAATTAGAGTCAATATGCGACGAGGTGGTAAAATGAAGAAAATACATTGTTGTCTTTTTTTATTTTGCAAGTGTATCCCTGCGTACGCAATTACTTTCGTTAGCAATTAAGTTTGCCTTGTATCGCATATCACATAGTTAAATGTCCATTTGTATTAGTAAATAATCGCATGGCAGACTTAAGTATATGTACATGAACACACATTTCTGCGCATGTAATACCCAAGTAAGTAATTGGCGAAATGTATGTATGTTTGCAGCTCGGAATGGCGCCAAATCGTTTTCGTTTTGCCTTATTACAACGCATCGCAGATTACAACCGTTAATTAAATTGAAAAGCGCTAGTAAAACGTTTGGGGATTATGGCTTAGCTGTAAATTATCGTGAATTTAAAATCAGTTAACTTGCGCATTTAAGAGTCTTCCTTTATGTCCATTTTTGTGAGTTTTTTAAGCCATAAAGAATTGGCCTTAATTCTTAAATTACGAAAGTTTTTAGATTTAAATTCTTAAACTGTGATCGAATGTATGAGAGATTCTTGTAATGCATCACCTTTCTTACATATGTAGACATTCAAGGCTGTTTCCATAGTCGACTTACTAACTGTGAAGTTACACGACCAAGAACTCAATCACTTGGCTGCCGCTTGCAGCGGTTTGATACCATTTAATTATCCCCCCCGCCCTTCCCCTGCTGAACCATTTTGTGCCACTGATGAATCTCATCTCGCGGCGGTGTTTGAAACCTCACTACGGTCAGCCAGAAACGGTTATCCCAGATGCCGCAGCCTGAACATTTACACAGCAGATATAAGACGTTCCGAACGGTATCCCGAGGCCTCCTGCATATTTTCTTATTAGAAAGTGCCCGGACAGAGCTCGCACTGCGTTAGATTTATCTTCTCTCCTCAGAGAGTGAATGCTTCGACTAATCGACTAATCAATTTTGGCTCAGTGCAAATTGGAATTACCTCGTGATGCCAAGTCCTTATCCATCCGGTCTTTCCATCGAAGAGAAGGACTGCCTCTTCCGTGAGTATCGTGTCCATTCGTACGTCATGGCAGTGCTGGCGGAGCCGCTGGCTCTTCGCTCCATCCAAAACCCCGGGGGCTCCTTTTATATTTTAAATACATAATTAAGTTACTCCAATGCTACACAATGTAGACGGCACTACCTTCTCATAAATCAAAACACAGTAAAAAAAAAATGCAGACGCATTAGGTATTTCATTCCACCAAAACTCGTACCAAAAATGCAGGCAAGAAGTAGACATTTGTCCAGCAATTACGAGTAGTAAAAGAAAAATATATATCAGATTACAGTTGCTATCTCGCAGTGCCCATCAGTAGGCTATTCGTCACGAGCTCATTGCGGTCTCAAATTCTTATTACTTACATACATACCTATCTGTGAAGGGAAATATCGAATGCAAAAATGAAAATAATTTCTTGAGGAAAAAGTAGAAAAAATTGCAAAGCCGAATTCTTAAATGTAGTGTAAAATATTCTTCAGGAATTAAGATATGGCTCATTAGCCAGGAGGCATGGAGATTAGTGGAGCACAAATGGAATTTAAATGCGCTGAGTTCACTGATAAAAAAGCAATGGCAACGGAATTAACAAATCAAGCAAAAAGACTGTCCTTACAATGCGTGTGGACAGTAAATGAATGTGGGAAAATAGAACCATTGTTGACTTAAGAAATCGATTTTTAAAAAGTGAAATGAAAATGCCAAGCACGTGTCTCGTTACGACTTAAGGGACATTAAAGCGAGTGGGGAAGAAATTAAACGCTTACTAATTTTATTGGTGAGTCGCACAAAAAAAAAACGTAATGATATTTAAAGGCATGAATATTCAATTCAGAGTACATATTAGGAATGTTAATCCCGGGATCCCGGCCTTTTTAAGGTCCCGAAAATCCCGGGATTCTTGGAATATAGTCCCGGGATTTACGGGATTTGTAATTTGCACTGATGGCAATAAAAGAAACTCCTTTTCTTGACCATTATTGGTTATATTTCTTTTTTTATTTAATAATTCTTTTTCATAAATGTATAGCTCGAATTAACCCTTTGAGGTGCGAGTGCTACGTTTGCTATGGATTAGCATCAATTAAAACACATCTTAATAAATACATATGTATTCTAAATTTGTGAATTATGTACTTCAAAATTACATTCAAAGAAATTTAACTGCATTTATTTGCATTTTCTGCAAACAAAATCAAAGAAATATTTTATGAAATAGTTTTAGGAATCTTTTTGTTTTTACTCACCTTATGTGCTTGCACATTTAATTTGTTATTCAAATACCAATTTAATGTTTTCTTTGAAATTTATATGTATGAGGACTTAACTCTAAAAGTTTGTTTATTAAATTTTTGCAAAAACAAATTTCTTTCGCTTTGAAGTTGTTCTGAAATTTCGGGTGCCTCAGGACTGGGACTACGCAGGCATGGGAACTGCACCTACATACATGCGTATATAGTTGGCTGCAATGGGCAAACAATAAACTCACCCGAGTAGTAATGATTTTCACTTCGTAGTTCGGCGCCTTAAAATGTCGAAAAAAAACACAAAAAAAATCACAATTTAATTGAATTTTGAATGAAAAAATATAAAATGCCAACGGGAAAATGGTTAAAATTTGTTCATCATTTGACATTGCAGTCGGTGTTTAAAATTGCCGAAATCACTTCTTCCCTTTTTGAATATGCCTTGGTACGGACTATATAATAAAGTCACTTACAAATACATATGTATGTATGTGTTTCTACTTTTGTATTTAAGAGTATTTTAAGTTTTGAGTAAAGAATGCAGACTTAAAATATAAACTAAAAGTAAAACTTAGTTCCCGGCGATTTGATGTTTGATGTTTGTGTAAAGCTAATATGAAAAAGTCATAAATATTGTGCACTTTATGCCTGCATTTTGTCAGTTTTATTCAACGAAAATGTTCCAAACTTTTTAGACAAATTTTAAACTGTTCACAATAAATTGACATCGTTTAAATTCTTGCCGCAACAAGCCAGTCTAAACAAAAGTAAAAAAAAAAATTTGTTTGCTCAAACAGTAAAAAACTTGCTCGTCCTTTTCTTATCTATATGTTGAACTTTCTGCTTCGCCCCTTCTACAAAACTACACGAAGAAATGTCCCTTGAAAATTTATGTCTGCCACCGCAAAATTCGCCAAAATTCGCTTGTAACTCCACCAAGTTTTTGCTAATATCCGTCCAGCGAGTTGTCTGTTGTCTCGCCAAAATTGAAATGTTGCTGCGATGCCTTCTGACATTTTTGAGGCTATTTTACAATGTCATTGTTAATGATGTTGTTGTTGAAAACGCATACATACAAGCAATAAAAATATCCTTTTACAAACACAACATATAAGGCGATTCTAAACTACTTGGAAATTGTCAAATGAAAAACAGCGCAAATAAAAAGTCCGAAGAAACTTTGACAACTTTCTTGCTGGTTATGCATTTCATGTGAAACAAACCACATTGCCACAGTTGAGAAGACTTCAAGTTGAAATTAACTTGCTTGTCGCATAAAATATGTAGTATGTAGTATGAGTTACAGCGAGGGGAAAATGTCTTAGTTGTTACACTATTATACGTTATTCATTTCTTTTCAATGGTTTTGGTGCTGAGGCAATTGGCAAATTTAAAGTATTAAATTATTGAAATTAAAAATTAATCTCTTTCGAGTTCTGGAAACGTTTATGCACAAATGACAGTACTTAAATTCTTTATTTAAATTTTATTTAACGTTACAAGACTTTTCGCGCATAAATGGATCGTTGATGTAATACAGGACACGTCCAAGTCCGTTCTACCGTTCCTTCCACATTTGCTTTTCCCCCAACCACAGGGCACTCTCCATAATAAAGAGTCTATCTATCAGTGGCATGTGGCAGATGAAATTCTAGGCGTTCGTGGGACATCATCCGTGGACATATTCCAGTTTAGTTTCGCTGTAAGTATGAGTCCCAAATATTTTTCGTAGGATCGTGTACAAAGAGCTGCAGAGGAAATACCCAGCATGCACACTTGAGTAAGGTTGTTTTCTTTTGTGGTGAATAAAAGTAGTTTTCTTCGAGAGATTTACGTTGATTCCGCAGCTTTATCTCAAGAACTCAACTTCCTGGTTCCCTCTACAGCATTTCGCTTATTCGCTTATCATCTTTATGCACAACCCGAATGCCATAATCACTTGGACTCCATCACTATTGCGCCTTAGAAAAATGTTGTTTAATAAGCAAAACCTCGGCATAGGCGACAGTATAGCGTCTTGCAGAGTGCCGTACTGTGGATATTTGGAGACTTCGCTCTTCACAATCCCCGTATGAAATATGTTTGAAATCTACTACGGCACGAAGTGCTCAAACTCTCGACTGCTGAGTAAGTGCTTTATCGCCTCTAGGGGGATGCTGCTTCTGTGCCCAGGAAAGTCACCTACTTTGCTGCCGCCGCTTTTGACTGATACGACCTTCATAAAGCCAAATTGCCAACGAAGTTTTTAGGTTAGGTCTATTTCCCAGTTAGTTGTTGTTTTTCTCTTAGTTCAGATCCTTTGCTGGTTACTGCGGTTCTCTGTCCGTGCATACAAAACCATTTTGCCGCTGCTCGTTTGCCAATTATGGTTGCAATATGGCCCCTCAAAAAAGGCCAAGTAAAGACGCGGCGCTACTGAGCTCTCCAAAGGAAGGAACGATACTACAGTGACAGTAAAAAACCATTCCTTGTTACGCCTTGGCATGGGAGGTCCAAATGCTAGTGCCAAAAACAAATATTGAAATTGTTGTTCCCTCCAGTAGTGAGCTTGTCACCCAGAGAACTAGTCTGTTGAGCTTTTTGTGGATAGACACATGGCTACCTTGCTGACCTATGGCAGTGCCAAGAGCTTCACTAGAGCACACTCTCAGGCCATCCACTGAATTCGAGTTACCGATCGTCGCCTGATCCCCCCATCACTCAGGGAGAATCTGGGTGGCTTAGTGAAGGCGCAAATTATATGGGCGAAATCAATAATTCGGAATTTGGGAATTCAATCGTATAAAAAAGGCATCGGACGCTAAATGCCAACGAGTGTTATATGAATTTCCAGTAAATCCTAGGAATATCATAGGCGCAATACACATACTGGGAAGTTACATTTGGCGATAGTAGAACCGTGTAGCTGTAAAAACTAACTACAGTCTACGCAGAAGTTCGTATAGAAGATGTTGTAGCCCCACACATCACACAATGATCAAGAGGCACAATTTGGTAATCATAGCGTTCAGCTGAAATTTTGGATTTTCTTCAAAAGTTTAAGATCTATTATCGAACAAATATCATGAACAACTTCTAAACAACTTAAAAACTTTCTATGTATGTATATGCATACTATATTATTCCAGAAAGAAAAAATTAAGATGTATTGTGGAACGATTTTCCGTCATATTTTGTCAAATTTGGTTTGGAGACAGTTTTTGACAAGGGAAGGGAGACACAAATTTGAAAAGGGATGACGGAAAATCGTTCCACAATACATCATACTCCTACCCTGTCGGAAACACAAACAACCAAAAAGAAAAAAAATTAAGAGGTCACAAAACAAAATCGCTCATATTCTGAGTTATCCTAATGTATATACCATTTTAATGGAACAATTTTAAATGCCAAACATATGTAAGTCGCCTCGAATTGCCTTTAGAGCAGGAAATTTAATTCATCTCAAAACTTTGCCACACGTGGTTGGAAACTCTATACCTATCTAATTTTTCATTTGCGCTATAGCCGCCAAAGTGAGTTTTGTTAAGCTAACGAGTAAAAACTACACATAGGGGTAAACAAAAATTCAGAAGATTGTATGTGTAATGTGAGCTTGATAAAGAGTAAATTGTTCTTTTTAAAGCAAATACCACAGAGTCTGCTGTGCAAGGGCTAATACTGAATTTAAGATTTAAAATAAAATTTAGATGAAGGCAGCCTTTTCTTACTTAAATATTGATGAGAAAATAATATATTTAAATATCAGTTGCAT